TCCCCCGGCCCGCCTCACCTACTGACTACGTCACTCACCTGACAGGGCCCTGACGTTGGTCGGCCTCCCCCGGCCCGCCTCACCTACTGATTATGGCACTTACCTGGCCTGGGTATCATTTTGTTTTGGCGGGTAGTAGGCACTCAAATATTCATTCAGTGAAGCTATTATTTCTTTTAATTTTCAAAGCAACCCTCAATTTACAGAGGAGGGAACTCAGACTAAAAGAATTTAAGTATTTAATTAAAGGTTAGGCAGTTTCTAAGTGGCCAAACCAAAAAAAAAAAAAAAAACCCAACCCATTGGCGTTGAGTCGATTCCAACTCATAGCGACCGTATAGGACAGAGTACAACTGCCCCATAGGGTTTCCAAGGAGCAGCTGGTGGATTCAAACTGCCTACTTTTTGGTTAGCAGCCATAGCTTTTAACCACTGGGCCACCAGGGCTCCCTAAGTGGCCAAGTAGGTACTTACTCACATCAGTTCCTTGATCTAAAGCTAGTAATTTTTCAGTAGATTCTCTTAAAGTGTTTATGGCCCAGACTTTCTAAGTAGCTGACTGTATACCAATTGCTCTTCAAGACAGGCACCTCTTGTGATTTGCTCTGAGCAGATGTTGTCACTAGGAAGTAAATGAAGGGGATGACTTACTGCTATTTAAGATGTCCTAGCATTGGACGCTTCTGTAAAATATGCATACTTCAATGTAAAAAGTTTTCCTCATATCACAAATTATTTCTTTTCCCAAATAAACTCATAAAGGTTTTGGTGGACTAGATAATATGTTTTGAGACTTGCCTGTTTTCACCGTGGGGGTGGGGAGAATTCTGAGTAAAATTGCCTGTCGTGTTCCACTGTTAAATCAAAGCGCAGCGTCTAACACTCAGAATTGGGAAGTGGTATTTGTGTCCCTCTTCCCTTCCTCTTTCCTTCGCTCTCTGTCACTGTGGGTTGCTGGAAGCCAAGTCCAAAATTGAATCTCTTCCCTAACCATCTTTGCCTGCTGAGTTAAATACAGACTCCCCCTTCGTGCTCACCACCCCATTGACAGTCAAGATCTTGGTTCCGTTCAAAAAATTTCCCCTGCCTTTTTATTTTGCAAAATTTTAAACCTGTGGAAAAATTGATAGAGAGGTATAGTGAACATCTTATTGACCAGTTAACATGTCACGTTTATTTTAGATACGTGTACACACACACACACACACTCTTTTTTGTGTGTGCTGAGCCTTTGAAAATAACTTGTAGACATCATGATGTTTTACTCCTAGATACTTCAGTGTGTGTCTCCTAATAACGAGGATTTTTTTTATATAACGTCATTTTTCCATCCAAGACATTTAACATGGATACAGTGATACTGTCTCATACATAGTCCATGTTCACATTTCCCAGGGTTTTTTTTTTTTTTAAATCTGTTCTGTCTTCTAAGTCTCATTTACTGCTGCTTTTCTTCATTCGTGCTTGTGCCTTACCAGCCTGGCCAGCTTGCGCTTCCGGAAGTGCATGCATGCATCTCTGCCTTCAGACCTCTGCCCGAGCTGTACCTTCCTGTGGAATTCTGGCTCCTTCCCCCTTTAGCTGGTGAACCCTTGTCCTTTCAAGCTCATTTTCAGTGGTTCCTTCCTTGTCCATGAAATGTTTCCTGATCTCCCCTGATGTGATTGCTTCCTCCTTTAAGCTCCAGGGAGTTTTTTGTACTGAAATATTTATTACGTCCTGTCTTGTATTAAGTATGGAGTTACGGGCTTCTTTATCTCTGCTTAGGACTGTGAGCTTCTTGAATCAGACTCTCTGTAGCCTGTGGTGCCCGTTTTTTTGCTCATAAAGTGTTTGTTTAATTGACTTCAATCCAGGATGTGTTGCCTGGTGTTTTATTTTTAGTATAATTCATTTATTTGTAGTGTGTTCTCTATTTTGGAATGATGGCCTGAAAATTCTATTTTCTGACATCATATTTAAGAATGGAAAAAACTAAGGGATATGGACTTTCACATGCATACAGGGATGGGAACCTGAATTTTTTTCTGCTCTTTGGGATTGTGTCCCCAGGGTCACAACTGTTAGACGTGACATTGTCTGGTCAAATGTGTGTACGGGATTGTATTTGCGGTTGCATTGGTAACTGTATCAGTAAACTGGGGGTGTGTGGCCTGCTGAGCCCCAGCAGGAAGTGCTGTGGAGTGACCCAGAGCGGCTGTGTAAGATCTCTTCTTTTACACCTAGGTTCGAGATGCAGCAATAAACAGCTTAGTGGAAATTTACAGACATGTAGGAGAACGTGTGAGGGCAGATCTCAGTAAAAAAGGATTGCCACAGTCCCGGTGAGTTCAGACTTTTTCCTTGCTTCTTCTCTTTTGTCCCAATCTTTATAGCTACCGTTTTGGATTGTACTACCTTTCTTTGTTGGGGTAATTTTATTCCAAGAATATATGGGTAGAGGATCAGTGGTCGGGGAGCTTGTCCAGATCGGACGTCAGCGCCCCCGCCCGTTCCACTTTTTCAGAAGTGAGATAGACACCCTCACCCACACGTCTAGACAGGTCCCATGGTATGCACTGGTTTAGGTGATCACCAGGTCTTTTCTCCTGTGGAGCGACTGGTCGGTTCCAGCTGCAGACCTTTTTGGTTAGTAGCCTGGCAATCAACCATTGTGCCACTAGGGCTGCTATTGGTGCCATAAACTAAAAAAGAACAAAAAACAAAAAACCCCTTGCTGTCAAGTTGATTCCAACTCATAGCAACCCTATAGGACAGAGTTGAACTGTCCCATAGGGTTTCCAAGGAGTGGCTAGTGGATTCGAACTGCTGACCTTTTGGTTAGCAGCCTGAGCTCTTAACCACTATGCCGCCAGGGCTCCACTGGTGCCGTATGACCCCACAATTCCACTTCTAGGTATATATCTAAAAGAACTGAAAATAGGTGATCAAGTACATGTATATGATGTAATAGCAGCATTATTCAGAAAAGCCAGAAGTGGAAACGGCCAAATACCCACCAATAGAAGAACAAACAAATTGTGGTGTATCCACACAGTGAAATATTGTTGAGCCATAAAAAGGAATGAAGTACTGATACATGCCACAGTGTGGATGAACCTCCAAAACATCTTGCTGAGTGGAAGAAGAAGGGCACAGAAGGCCACATATTATGTGGTTCCATTTCTGTGAACTCTCAGAATAGACCAGTCCATAGAGACAGAAGGTGGATTAGTGGTCACCAGGGGCTGGGGCGGGGGCTGGGCAGCAGGAGGATGGGGAGAAGCTGCTGAACGGGTAAAGGGTTTAACTCTGGAGTGATGGAAGTGTTTGAGACTAGACAGAGGTGGTGATTGCACAACATTGTGAAGGTACTAAATACTGCTGAATTGTTGACTTTAAAATTAATTCCATGTTTGTGAGTTTCACCTTAAATTATTTTAAGAAAACAAAAACGTAGTTAGAAAAATCATAACTTACAGAACCATATCGTCTGGACACACAGCGCCTAGTACAGTCAGTTTTTAAAATATATTTGAATGAATGGAGCCTTTGCAGAATGAGTTTGGATAGAATACATAAGTAATAATTCTGGAGAACTTCACGGAAATGCCTGCTTGCCACGTAGCCATGTCAGTCTCGGGGTATAGAAACCAGCACAAAGGAGGTAGACATCTTCTCAGACCGGAGACAACTCGAGCCCACCAGTGTCTGTTTGTTATTTAAAAAGAATGAACCCTTGGGTATCTATCGTTTAACTGGGATGAAAAATCACCAAACGAATTTTAGACCTTTTGACCCGCCGTGTTCTTTTAGGGAGACAGTCACGGACAGTCCTGGAATGTTAGTGTGGAGGTGGACTCAGAGCAGCCTGCCTGTCGCTGTGCCCACAGGGATGACGTGGCTTTTCAGAGATGACACGGCTCGGAGGAGCCTGGGCTGAGACTGGGCCCCGGTTCTTGTGGCCCATCTTGATGTTTTCAGCCCGTTTCACGAGGCTTTCAGAGCCTGGGCACCTAGCTGTGGGGTGGGAATTATCCGTCCGTGCCTGTCTGTTGTTTTCCTTGGGTGCATGTGACAGAAGAGGGCCCCTTGCCCTGAAATGGGTGGTGTCATGAGTGGCCACGTGGGGGTACGTTCTGTGTTGTCAGAGAACGCTGACCCAGCTTCGCTCTCAGCATAGCCCTTGGGCTGTGGACAGGACAGAGAGATGGGAATACAACCGCCTTTCCCGCTTTTTACAAAAGGCGGTCTCTGAGAGCAGTTTCTCATTCCTGTGTTTGATGAACCTCAGCCTTTTTTGAGCATGTGCTGAGAACACTTAGAAGACAAAAATACCGCACGTTAGGGAAACAGGAAATCCGAGGGAAGCTTGGAGAGCACAGATGAGCAGGGCGGGCAGGGGCTTGGAGGGAGAGGACCCTGTCGCGACGTCTAGGGAAGGCAGGCTGCTGCTCCAGGGATGGCCGCGCCCCGTGACCTTACTGTCCTACGCAGTGAGATGTCTGCGTAAGGCTGGAAGGTTACTCTAGCAAACTAACAGAACCGGGGGAGTTACATGGTGAAACTGAGATCCCAGGAGGCGAGCGTGCAGAAAAGAGTTAACCTAACAGGCCTGAGACCGCTGTCCTTGGAAAGGCCTGCTTGCAGGGTTGGCCTTTGCCTGATGCCTGGAACCTTGGATTTGGGGAGGGCTCCCACCATTCGCCAGACTGATGAGAGTGGCTCACCGTGCCCAAACTGTTTGTGCCAACAATGTGGTTTGTGCCGAACACCTGCTTTCCTTCTGGAGGCTGGATCTTGGTACATGCTAGGCAGAAGGTGCATATACATCCCACCCCCGATGAACACCTTGGGCGGTGAGTCTCCAGGGAGCTTTCCTGGCAGACAACGTTTTGCACGTGTTGTCAGCAACTCGTTGCTGGGGGATTCAGGTGTATCCTGGGTGACCCGTGGGCGAGGATTCTTGGAAGCCCACACCTCGTTTCCTCTGGACTGTACCCCGTGCCCCTTTTCTCTTTGCTGACTGGGCTTTGTGTCTGTTTGCTGTAATAAAACGCAGCTGTGAACGTGATTATACGCTGCGTCCTGTGAGTCTTCCTAACAAATCATCAAACTTGGGGGTGATCTTGGAGACCCCCAAAGGAAGCTAATGCCAGCTAGGGCAGAAACCTTCATTTTCAGACTGCTTGTCATGTTGTGTGCTTTCTACTGTCCCCCTCCTTTTTTTTGATATTAAAAAAGAAGCTACAGAAGAGCTTGGGACTGTGGGAATAGGAGTGATGGTTTCAGCTTATGTTACCTGAAACCCTTCCTAAAAATTTTGGGCCAAAATTGAAAGGGTGGTCCTGGGGAAGTGGACCCACATCCTACAGCTGTTATTGTGAAATTCTGGCAGACACAAGTGCTTGGAGAACTAGGCTCGTAGTTCTTTAAAAACCTTAGCTCTGGTTAAAGAAGTGGAAACATCATTTTTTTTTTTTTATTTGATTACAGGATAGTAACCCAAACACTCTCTGGGCCAGGGACCCTGGTACTTGCCTTTGTATGGTTGAATAGGCACCCAAGAAAGAGTCCTGGGGGAGCAAGGGTTAAACATTCAGCTACTGAAAGGTTGGCAGTTTGAACCAACTCAGTGACCCCATGGGAGAAAGACCTGGTGATCTGCTCCTGTAAAGATCACAGCCCAGAAAACCCTATGGGTCAATTCTCCTCTTTCACGTGAGGTTACTATGAGTCAAAATTGACTCGACAGCACCCATCAACAGCAACATGTACCGAAGTGTAACGCGGACTTTATTGTTTGGGAAATTCAGTATTTGCTGTATGTAGCGCCAAGTGGCTGGCTGGAATACTTGAATATCCTGGAATTCTGTTATATCATTATATAATTTCTGGTTATTTCATGAGTAGAGTTTTCAGCTTAGCAAGATTCCATAGACTGATAAAATCGTGTAGAATTTACTTAATCCTTTCCAAAACTTGGATTTAGTCCTGGAATAAGAATATTCTCTTAAAAGTTTGTTCACTTGAGTGAGTGCTATATCTGAGAAAGAATAAGATTAATTATATCTCTAATGAAATATACAGTGAAAAGGAATGCCTTAATGTTGTTGTTAAACCCGTTGCTGTTGAGTGGATTCCAACTCATAGTGACCCTATAGGACAGAGTACAAGTGCCCTGTAGGGTTTCCAAGAGGTGGCGGGTGGATTCAAACTGCCAGCCTTTTGTTTAGCGGCTGAATGCTTCACCAGTGGGCCACCAGGGCTCCAGTGTTGTTAGGTGCCATCAAGTCGATTTTGCAACTCAAAGCGACCCCATGTGACAGAATAGAACTTCTGTAATCTTTACAGGAGCAGATCACCACGTCTTTGTCTGTGGGTTTGAACCTCCAGCCTGTTGTTGAGGAGCCGAGTGCTTAACTGTTGTGCCACCAGGGCTCCTTAAATGATTTAAATAACAAGAGTAGTAGTCTCATTTGAACAGCAGTTTTCTTTGTCCTAAAGTAGAAGATTGTGTAATATCTTCATTTTACAGATGGGGGATAAAAAGACTTGGTGTACATTAAACAGCTTCGTTTTGGAGGAGCTGAAATTAGGGTTTTGGGCCATGGGTCATGTTGTTACATAACGCTTGTCCTCCAGTGGCCGAAATCATACTGACCCAGACAGTCAGGTGAAGGTATTCAACAAAGTCTTCACGGTAGACAGTCATTCACCCACGTGGGATCTTGGGATAGCTGAGCTGTGAACTTCAGTATACCAGTCAGTTCAGTATTTGACCATTTTCTATCGTTTTACACACATTATTTTCGCATTTCATGTACACAGCTGCTAGCTATTTATCATAATGTGTATTTTGTAAAGTTGTAACTGGCACATTAGTAAAATGTAAAGAGACCAGCTGTAACTCATTGTGACTTACAAGCATGAAGTGCATCTTTTGACATTTTTGAGAAATGTTTCTTTCATAAACATTAACTGTCACCCCATCGAATCTTCCAGAAATATTTTCAGTCAGTAAGGTATATTGTAGTTTGTGAAGTTTTGGAAAAAAGGCAGGTCGCTGGTGATAAATGTCTTCTGGGACCATCACTTGGGAACCAGGCTCCTAAAACAGCAGCTCCTTAAACTGGGATACTTGAACTTACAGACATAACGGATGCAGGCCACCTGGTGCATCTCAGCTCTCGGTAAACTGACCTGTGTATTTGAACAGCTCTCACGTTTACTTATTCAGCTATCAGCCGATTTTAAAAAGTTACAAACATTCAGTATAGATATTATTACTTGATTGTTTTCGAAAGATAAAACTGAAACTTTTAAATTTTTATTTGCTTGCTAA